AAAGAACTTTAGTCATTATGATTTCTCCTGTCATGTCAAACCTAAGCTTTTCCGGGGAATTAACATGAGAGATTTAAAGGTTTCAGCTTGAGACTCAAGTTCTTACTTTCTTCCTACAAACTGACAGCATAAATGCAATAATGGTTGTAGCTACGTGAGAGGAATTTCTCCATATGGCGTGTCAGGTGGCATTTGAGATATTTTTAATACTTCTGTAGGCAGGTTAAAAAAAAATCTTTCCAGTCTGCAAACATTTTACCAGCCTCCACAATGCTCACCTACACACTGCAATGTTATGGGAAAAATTTGTCATTTCCAATCCTAATGAGTTGGAGAATAAATAAATATGGATGATGCATCAGAAGGGACTGAGCCCCCTCAATCTAAACAGTTATCATTCTGGTGGGCCGAATGGGCATCTAAATAACATTCAATCGTTATTTAAGTTCTGGCTTTTCCACGGCCTGATTTATCATTTCTCAGACTATGAATCCACATTAAATGACAAAGTGCAGCACAAAGCCTTGTTTTTCTGAGTCTTAGATTCCTGGATACACATGCTACAGAGATTGGCATCTTAACACCATTAACTATATTTGGGAAATTTGGGGTTGATGAATAGTTGCTGATTGACAGAATAGCATCTCTACAAGAATAAATGTGGCAGCAGGCAAGATGTATTTATCTGGTGTTGAGATGCAAAGCTGATTACACAGCCGAGGGCAAATGAGGTGGAAACATCTTGGAGATTAGGTTTGCTCCCTGTGTCCTACATTTCAGAGGGATGTGATCATTGGTTTCATGTTTAATGTTTCCCACAGACAGCTCTTCTCGGGGTTGAAATAAATGCAAAATCTATCCTGGAAATTGTTGTATGTAGAAATTTAGCTCAGTCAGGACAAAGAACAACAGTGAAATTAGTGGTCTCATGGCAAGCGTTCTGGGATAACCATGTCATCTCTTCTCTGTGACAGATGAGGACCTGAGATCCAAACTGGGTAAGGTGATTTGGGCCACAAAGTTAGTGTAATGAAATGTTGGTCCCTTTCTAGAATTACCTGTTACACTGTTGTATCCTGTCAGAGCACAGTCCTTCTTTGTGAGGGGGAAAATCCATTTCCTGGGAGTGCTCACTGGCTGCTCTTCCAATCCCTGTTTCTGTCATGTCTCCCCAAACTCACTTGCAATGTCTAGTCCCCAGTTTCACTTCAGCTGATCTCTCTCCTTGGCCACATATGGGTTCTACAGACACCTGCTCTCTGACATCAGCTCAGGTAAAAGAAACTCCTTGCTCCTGTCTGGTCACATAATTAGAAGGTGGGACTCTGAGGCCACAGATTATGCCACCTGCCACATCTAATTTCTCCTTGCCTCCCCCCACCCCACCTAGATTGGAGTCCTTCCAAATGGAACCACCAAAATGTTTGTGCCCTTTTCTCTGTGTCTGGCCTCTCTGCTTCTTTTTCAAACATCTCTTCTGATTTTTCTTTGACACTGAAGTAACTCACCTCAGGGATGGACAGAGGTACCATTGAACAAAGCAGATCACTTATTATATGCCAGGCATTATGGGGATAAAGAGGTAAACCACAGTCAGTTCTCTCCCTCAAGGTGCTTTGAACCCAGAGGAGGAAACAAATATGTCTGTGGCCCTTTATGAGGGACAAGGGGTTAAGAGAAGTACAAACGATGTGCTACAGAAGCGCAGAGCTGGAAGTGAACTCTGACAGGGAAGGAGGGAAAACCTCAGGGAGGACGTGGCTTGTGAGCTGCAGCGTAATGGAGGGAGTACCTGTTTATCTTCTTCTCTGAAAGGAAAGGTTTAGTGACATCCATGGTTTTCATTGGCTATAGAAGGTCACAACAGTAGGACTGAGAAGCCTTGCGTATTTGCAAGATCCATCTGAGTCTAGAGCCTGGCTTAGGTTTCTCTTTCTCCCTTTCTTGTAGGAAAGGGATGGCTTCAACTTTTGAGGGGAGTTGAGAGTTAGTGATCTGTGAGCCATAGTAGTAATGTTTCTTGCTGTGAGAGGTCATGGCAGAGGAAAAGGGAATGTGTGCATTGCAGATGTTCCCCTCCCATCATCTCTCCTTCCTTCCTCTCCCCAGTCCAAGGTCAGGAGAAGTCCTTTTGGGCAGTAAGCTGCTGGAGTTACTAAATGCATTTCACACAAGCTAAACAGTCCTTTAGTGCACAGGAATCACTGGGGATGTTTTATTACAATGCAGATTCTAATTCAGTAGATCCTGGGTGCCCCTGAGATTCCGCACTTCCAATAGGCTTCCAGGTGAAGGTGATCCTATTGGTCTACTGACCACACAACAGAGTGAATGTCACTATCTCATTTCACTAGATGTGAACTAAGGGGTAATGGAGAGTTTGGGAATGCATGGGGAGTTACATGAAACCCTTCTATCTACCACTAAAGGCTTAAAAAGAGGACATGTAAACATTACATGAAGCCCAAGTAGGCAGAAACCATTTTTCTGTTTTCTTGGTTCCACTTAGAAAGTAGACTACTTTGGTAAACAAAATGACCAAATTCAGTATATAAACATTCATATTACATACTTCAGAGAGGGGTACGATTCTACGGGGATTATCAGTGATAGCTTCTTCCCTTAGGAAGGCAGAATGGTGCACTGCAAAAATGTGGGTCTCTGGGTCAGAAGGATTTGGGGTTAGGACTCTCTCAATTGTATAACCTCAAATGAGTTATCATTCTCTCTAATCTGTTTCTCATCTTTGGAATGAGGATAATACCTACCCTGCTGGGTGGTTGGGAAGACTAGCAATTATGTTTGCAAAGTGATCTCTTCAAGCCTGATCCAGATTGTGTGTCCTCAACTAAGTTCTGCTTCACCAAAGTCAGGAAATGGGTTTCATTGAAATGGATAGCCCCAAAGTCTAGTACACAACTAACATATATTAGGCCCTTAGTAATTGTTTATTAAACCACGAGCATGTACAACCCTAAATGTCTATACCACTAACATGTTAATTAACATATACCCTTCTATTATCTATAAACTTTAACTTATTTATATTTTGTCTTGATAAATAACCCCTTTGGAAAAATATTTTTCTCCTTCTCTTTCTCTTTAAGCCACTTCCTACACACTCTTCCTTCCCTAGCTTACAGCAATTACATGTTTCTGAATTTGATTAAAGGTTAGAATAGGGTTTGTGAATCTCTTCAGAAAGCTTTTGAAACAATGCTGGGAGAAGACTTTGGGTTATATCCTCTTTTTTCTTTCTAGAACAAAGCTCTTATGGCCATAATACTATTTTGCTGATTTACTCTAAAAGATTGCTACTTTAGTTAAAATCTAATTAGACTCAAGCCGTGGAAAAATTTACTTCTTTCTCAATCACATCCCTTTTCTATGAGCAAAGCTGACTTGCAATTGCTCCAAATGTATTTCAGAGGTGAGACTCTTGGAAGTGCTTCTGAAGCTGCAGTTTCAAGAAGTGTGGGAATTGGGTCCCTCTAGAATAATTTTTCAGGTAAAATATTTTAAAAAGCTTCTAAGTAATGAGTTTGTTTAATGCTTTTTGTTCTTCTAATTGATAATGATGGGTTTTAAACAGAAGTATTGACCTAGTATTGACTCTATTCCTAATTTATTATGTGACCCGGGGGCAATTACTTGCCCTCTCTGAGCTTCAGTGTTCTTATCTAAAAGGTGGAATTTACATAAGAAGATGTGGGGATTGAAGGAGATAATTATATATAAAGTGCCTATTAGTGTTTGGCTAATATGAGTAAGAATAAATCAGATTTTCCATAAACTACTATTTCTAGGAAAAAAAGCTGAGGAAAAAAATCACTTTAAAATAACTTCCCAATTTTTTTCACATTTATTATTTGAACAGAATATTATTTGCACAGAATCTCAGAATAGATTTCTCTTCTTAAGTGTCAGATGGATGATAAATTTGCATTTATCAGAAGTAGATTAAAGGCAAGGCCCTTTCTTGCCTACCTGCTTGGAACAGATAGAAATGCCACCAAATCACAGACCAAATCACTGAATCACCAAGGCCTCAAGTCCTCTTAAGAAACATTTGAAGGTAGTTCATTCCAGCACTGATTAGACACTTAGGGGGAAAACCGCTTACCTTGGCATCAAGGTGTACACTGATTCACTGGCACAGAAACAGTGGCAACCAGCTCTTGAACGCCACGGTTTCCCAGTAAGCAGGTAGCCTCCATTTGTGACGCCCAGGCCTCTTGACATCCCGACTCAACCTTCCTTTCCTGGATCGCCCGTCCTAGCTCATATATTTGCCCAAACCTGTTTAGCTCTTAACTTCAAATAGTCAAAGTAGTTTACCTGCCACGGATTCTGGCTAAAGAGCTATTTGAAGGTGGAACTGGGAGTGTGAGGGAGGCTAACATTAGGGTTTGGGTTTACCTGTGGATTCTATTTCTTGAGTTTTCCTCCTTGGCAACTTGTAGCACTTATAATGGAGAATGGCTAGGCTGGAGGTTCAGGGGCAGTGGCCGTTGACCTGACCACTGGAGCGGCACGGCCTTGAGGGGTCTCTGAGGCGTGGGAACCTCCGGAACAGGGGCTCCCTTCCCGCCATAGCTTCGAATCAGTCAGTCCAGCGCTCGCGCTCGGAGAGGCGCCCGAGGGGACAGGCAAGCTGGTGTAACGGGGCCGGGGATTGGCTGTTGCACCTTAGACCCTGCCTTGCGAACACCGCCTCCTACTGGGCAGCCTGGACTTCCGTTGTCCAATAATCTTACCGCGCCCTAGCCAGGCTCATCGGCTCCGCTGCTGATTGGACGCCGTCTCCTTCCACACTACCTTGCCGTCCGCCCGCCCTGGCGCCGCTGCGAGTTTCCATTGGTCGTCAGCCCTGCCGATCAGTCCACAGCTCACCTCCCCCAAACAGCCCGTCGGGCCGGCGCGTGCTGGGGAGGCGGGGCCTCGTGGCTAGGGGCGGGGCTGGGGCGGGGCCTCGACGGAGGCCGGCGCAGCGACAGCTTCAGGCTCTGGCTCTGGACTCCAGCGCAGCATCCTCGCTGCAGCCGCTACCGCTGCTACACCTGGTCAGGTAAAGAGAGCCTTGTCTGTCCTGCTGGCTGTCTGCCCCGCCTCTTTTCCTTCCCGACAGAAGGCCACCTGCTCCGCCTTTTGGGGCTTCAGGGCTCTCGAAAGAGGCGTCAAATCTGTTTTGCCCGGCTACCTTATCTTCCTCGCCTTCTGCGTTCGTTCCTCCAGCTCAACTCAGAGGCTTTGAAGTGGGTTGTCGGGGCTCCCCGGGTCTTCCTAACGCTCCTCACTACAGAACTGCCGTTAACTCCCAGCCCTCTTGACCCGCCAGTGCAGCCGCATTCCCAGCTTGGCACAGGACGGGTGGAAGAGCGGGCGGGGGAGGGAGGGACGCAGCGCTTTATTTTGAAGGTGGATATGCTTAGTTCTGAGGGGTGGGGGGTGGGGGGAGTCCTTCAGTGGCGTTGGTTTGGGAACGGAAGCTGCATCACGGTTATGATTGGCAGTGACTGAAAGAATATCTGTTGCTGCTTTGTGCTTATATTTATAGGTGACATTCACCATCACTGTTTTCTTCTTTCATCATCATCATCATCACCAACACCCCGACCACCACCATCAATATTCTCTTCCTCCATCAGAGCTCTTCAAGTTATACAAAAGCAGACTCTGTTCAGGCATGTAAGTGCTGACTTCCAAATAAAAAGCAATGCCCTTGCCCCCCTGAGGCCAGAGCCAAGTCCTCCGTTAATTCAAGGACAAGTAGCTGGGACCCGGGTTTGAATGGGAAGAGTTTCCTTATCCCCATTTGCGGTTGATATTGCCGCAGAAAACCCATTGTTTTAATCATCCACCTGCTGCTTGCTGGCTCCTGGAGTTTGACATTGGCACTCACAAACACCTGATGGGTTGAATGCAGAGTCCAGGACCGGTGGTACAGGCCTGTGCACTATGGGTACTTCAGTCATGGAGAGGTGACTGTTCAGACCTAAGCCTTTAAGAGGACCAGGTCAAGTAGCTTAGCATCTGACTTTCTTCCACAGCGGCTCTAGCTGTACTAAAGCATGATCCATGTTTGCATGTGGGGTATGTAGCATTGTGTGCTGTGCCTCCTTGGGGGAACCTAAGTTCCTGGAGAGAGAATTATGCTGTGTTGTCTACAGCAGGTAGCTTCTTAGGGGCACACCATTGGTATTCAGCAGCCTGGCTCAGCTGTTCTTAGGGCTTACTGCAAGATCACTTGGATCTCAGGCTTATTAATGTTTATTCAGGAGAGCAAACATCATAGCTGAGGGTTGCCTACCAGATTAACTATCATTGTAGATGACAGAACCTTAAAGGTGTTATAAAAGTCCCAGGCTCTTCTTGGTCAGTGATATCTAACCATTAGTCTCCTTTCTCTCAACTGTGTTTATAGTGCAGTAGGACCAATGAATAAAATGCCTTTAGATATACTGCAGAAACAAGGGAGCAGTGACTTCACTGGAGGGAAACAATGGATAAAAGTTGGGAGGCAGTATAGCATGATGGTTAAAGTCCTGGACCTGTAACATGGGTTCAAGTCCTGGACCAACCACTTACTAGCTGAGTGGGTTTTGGCAAGTCACTTACCCTTTTAAATTTAGCTTGTCTATAAAATGGGAATAATATTACCTGCCTCCTAGGGGAAGTTGTTGTTAAAATGCTCTCTAGTTCCTGGCACATAGTAAGTGGAAAATGAACTGTAACTGTTATTAATAATACTTGTCAACAAGAATCTTCTGCCCTTAAAACATGCACTTCCAAACCATTGTCTTTCTCCCTCCTTTTTTGATCTCAAAGGTGATCTTAATGTGGGACAGCTATCTTTGGGCCCCTCTTAGGATTCCATATTAGAGAGGTGGCATGTATTCGGACAGACATTTCTCTCATCAGCCTGAGCAAATGCTTAGCAATCTCTATTAAGATACATTAAAGATGCAACTTCAGAGAACATTTCTGCACCTCTGGGCCTGTCCTAGGCTGCTTCTTCCTCCCTGGTTGTTCAGTGCACCAAGTTGGTAAATTATGCTTTTTACAGAATTGCTAGTGAATGCATTGGCTTTTGCCAGGAACAGCAAAACTACTTTTCTTCAAATGTCCCTGGGAATTGCAGAAACTCTAACTTACCAGCAAGGGAGAACTTGTTTTATAATATTTTTATTCTCTAAAAATAATATGTTTTTCTTTGCCCTTGTAGAAAACAGCAAGCAGTTACTGAGTATCAGTGTGGTTCAGTTTTCTTATATAGAAAGAGAGGTGAACAGTCATATCTGCTTTTTGGGCATACTTTGAAATTTAGAGTATATAGTCAATTATATTATTTAGGATATCTCCTGTGGTGTAGGATAGAAACCCAGCAGAAAGAATGCTAAGTAAAACTGAGCATTTGGGGCTAAAATAACTGAGCTCCAACCACACTCTGATGTCTTGGTGAGGAAGTTGGTCTACCCCCAGCTCCTAAGATTCAGATGCTTCTCTGGTTGCTAGTTTGTTTTCTGTCCCTCTGTCTCTGTCTCTTTCAATTCCCTTATTTCTGTTCATCTTTCTCTGTCTTGGCCTCATTCTTTCCTATCACAGACCTTGTCCCCTTGGTGCCTCCATAAGCTCTAGATTCATATCCATCCAGCTCTTTAATCCATGGATAGCCCCCTTCTCTTCAAGCTCCAAAATGAGTCTCAGGGAAGAACTGTAACCACTCAGTCCTGGGTCACAGAATGAATGTTTAGAATGAATGTTAGGGGTCCCATGGTCCTATGATTGTCTAGGGGTGGATCTCCTATCCAAGCCTGCCTTCCTCTCTAGACGTAAAATTGGTAGAGCTGTCCTCAGAGGAGGAGGGATGGGAGGAATGGGGACAGACTGGAACTTGATGTGACGATGGTAAACATCACTGATAGAAGATTCATAAACACTGCTCTCCTACCTCACATATAGTGACTCAGAGTCATTTCATGTTAAAGCTTTGAACTCATGCATGTCATTCCAGGGACTGGTGTTTAGATGATCCTGCCTTTAATGGTTTTCTTATTAAAACCTTACTTGTATAATTGTGAAAATTTATCAGAGATATTTAATAATATGCAGTGTTGATAGATCATGCTGGGAGGTTGCTTATAATCATGTGTTGGAACTTTGTTCAACAGGAGCCATTACTTTCAGAGGCATGTCGTCTCTGTGTTAGAAATCAGCTTTATTCTCAGCAGGTCCCAGCCTGCGGGTTGTTAAAGTTATAGCCATTAATTTGATTTGCTAGATCTTGTAACGATGCTAAACCATGGGAACTGTATCTTCAGGGAGCAAATATGAGCCTGCATCAACAGGCTGGCCCTGGGAGGGAGCTGAAGCATCCCTGTGTTTAGTGTCTGTGTGGAAAGGCTGACAAAGCAGTCATCCATATGCCCTGCAATGTAATAATTACTGAGGTGGGAAGATGGGAAGAGGCTATGAACCTCCTTACCTTGTCAACCTATGAAAGCAAGCCTCTGGGAAATGGACCATCCCCTGCCACTTAGACTTCCCAAGTTCTCTGGCTAGATATGTAACATGTCCCTGAATCACCTGTATTTCTGTATTTCTTTAGGCTTTGAATGTATAATACTGTAGTTATGTATGGGTCTGGGGGAGGGAGAGTGGTCCTTTAGGCCACCTCACCTCACCTCTTTCCTGAAGTGACCTCTGTCATTCACCTCTACAGGAAGAGGCTACTGGGTTTTTTGTTCTTGTTTTTGTTTTTTAAACCAGTCCATCTATTTCCTTACCTTAATCGAAACTGACCTGTGTTCCAGCTTATTAGAGCTAGATCCATTTCTCCTTTCTAAAGTGTCAGAGGTTGTTGTTAAAGAACAGCATCTTTCATGTTAAACACTTTTTACCTTGGTTTTCTGAGTCACAGGCTATCAGGGGAAATATTTTTGAGGCAGACAGGACTTTTTTTTTAAACAAGAGAAGAACAAACAGAAGTTAATAAACTTGTGTATCACGCTTCCATGTGGGGACACCCAGACATGAGTAACTCCAAAGGGTGGTTAGAACCTGGTCTTATACTATATATAAAAATAGATTAAATTTTTTTCCTTCTGTATAATACAGGGAACTATATTCAATATCTTGTAATAACCTTTAATGAAAAAGAATATGAAAATGTATTATATATATGTATATGCATGACTGGGACATTGTGCTGTATGCTAGAAATTGACACATTATAACTGACTATACTTCAATTTAGGAAAAAGAAAGAACTTGGGCTTAAATACCATCTCAGGCTAAAGGAAAAGGAGTTTGGGGCTTCTGGATGGGGGAGTCTGGTTATGGGAAAGTGACTGGGAAAAGTGTGGTGGACAAGGGTTGTTTAGTACAGTTTGCTGTGCAGATTTAATTCTGTGCCTTCTCCATTGATAAAAGCTAAGAGTTCTCTTCAGATCCTGGGAGAAGGAGACACCTTTTACAAATAGGAATTTCTTTTACAAGTGTAAATTTCCTTTACCAAAGGAAAACTTGTATACTGTTTTTAGAGCTTTTCCTGCATCCACTGGTACTCAGTGGTATTTAACTCAAAATAATCCATATGCCAAAGAGGCATATTTTGCAGTAGCATATTTGGTACCCCTCACTCTGCCCTTTGAAATGTCCCTTTTTTTCCTCAAGTTTTATATATCAAAATTGAGCTGGTAGCTATAGAGAACTTCTGATTGGAGTTTGTAAGATAGGAGATCTACAAAGGGGGAGGGAAAACAACCAACAACATAGATTGGAACAAGAATGAAAAATCAGAAAAGGACAAATATAAAGCATTGCCCTTTCTCATTGACTCAGTCTCAGTCTTGGAGTAGGTCCATCCAGTTAAACATTTGTGTCTCATTTGAGGGGTCGGTGGTGTCATAAGGAATAAGGTAACCACCACAGTTAGGTGTCTGGATAGTGTCAGAAATCAGGTACTTAGTAAGGTGCATTTCTATGGAAACAAACAGAAACCAAAGATTAATGGTTAGAACAAAAATAAACCTAGCTTTTGAGTCCTGAAAGCAGCTGGTCAAGAAG